ACAAAAAAAAAAAAAGGTCAGGGATTTGGGCTCCCTGGTGCCGCTGCCTGCCTTGTAAGCGCAAGGTCCTGAGTTTGATCCCTGGTACCAAAAAATATATATATGTATTTTAAGTAGAAAGCCTGTCAAACCAACATGTTACCTGCACTGTGGAGCTGAGTGAGTGGCATTTGACTCCTGCACCACTACAACCTAATTCTGTGACTTTGGAAGTTTTCTGTTTTGAAAAAATGATGAAAGTTGCGCATAACTCACAGGAATAAAAGGCTGCAATGTACATGGGACACCAACACAATAGACAAAACAGCATTTCATAGTCATTTAAGCACAAAGATTGCCCACCTGTAGAGATCCTAGATCTGCCACTTCATAGCAAGATCATCTTGGGAAAGTCATTTAACTTCCCAAAATATGTGTCCTCACCTTTACAATGTGGTGGTATATTATCTATCCCATAGGTCTGTCACGAAGAATAACTGGGATGATACTTGGAAACCCTTGACACAGGGTATGGCAGTGTGGACATGAGGGACAGCATTTTCCTTTTCTGGCCTCCTTTCCAAGCCACTGTCAATTCTTTCAACTAATTCCTCCCTACCTTCCCATTGTACTTTGCCTAGAAGGAAAAAAGTGTTAACTACAGGCAGAATTTCTCTGAGAAATGTCTTTTTAAGCACATCCACTAAACTCTTTTATCAACTGTGAAAGGAAACACAATATCCAGGTTCAGGAAACAGAGCTAAACTGTGAAGTGAGACGAGTTTTGAGATTCTAACCAGATGTGGTGGCATCAGCCTGTAAATCCCAGCTTTTTGGAGGCTGAGGCAGGAGGATTGGAAGTTCAAAGCAATTTAGCAAGACCCTGTCTCCAAATTAAAAGTAAAAAGGACTTGGGATGCAGCTCAGTGGTAGAGTGCCTGCAGGTTCAATCTGAAGTACTGCCAAAACAACATGAAGAGTTTGGAGCTTCTAGAGGCAAGAGATGTGATGAGGGGTAGATATGAGAGGTGGTGGCTTCTCTGGAACTTTTCAGCAGTTTGAAATAGCCAAGGTAAATCTAAAGACCAAAGAATACAGCATATCCCTCAAGTAGCCTGCTGGGCTTAGCTCTCTTAATCGTGACACTTGAGCACTGGCTAGGACACATACTTTCCTTGAATGTTTGCATGGTTGGGGGAAATGTATCAATGAAAAAGAATGTTTCTACATGTAGATTGAATGCAATGATAAAAGAAGGAAGGAGATGAAGTAAAGTAAGATGATAGATATAATTCAGTTAAATCATAAAATTATACCAAAATTGATTAGGAAAATCATTAATCACCCTCCTATCCCCAGAACTGCTTGGATGTATTGGTGCAACATTGGATTTTTCACTGTAAGCAGGAAGGGTAATCACTGAGCATATGTAAATAGTGTAATTCTTATTATCTAAATAAAATGCATGGTTTCAGAGTAAGGATGGAACTTTATATTCATGGACTACAGAGATTTTGAAACTAGAAAACCTCTGGCAATAACCTAGTCTAACCTCTTAAATTAACAGCTAAAAAACAAGAGTGGGCCATAACCTGCTCTGTTATCAAGGTAAACTATGAGGAACAAATAAACTTGAGCTTTCAGCCCACAGAGACCATCATTGAGCTAGCTGTTTCTAATGAGAAAGGGAATATAAATATAAATATAAGCTTGAGCAGGTAAGGTGCCTCATAAAGCTAGGGAACTACTCCTAGTTGCCTGCGTATGTCCTTCACTTGAGTTATTAGTTAACCTATTTCAACACTGGACATTCTATTTCAGCAGTATTATATCAATATTTATTATATCAGATATCCTTATGGTGGCAAGTAAAAGGCAAAAGATTTATATGCTCTGAAGAGAAACCAGACTGCAAGTTAATGGTCTTCTTAGGATAAACTATCATGATGACACTCACTTTGACAGTGTGAGTGAAGAATCAAAACAGGCCCCATTTGATTACCAGCACTTCTAAAGTTTTCATTTGTGTTCCTGTCTATTGAGCTGATTTTCAAATGAATTCAATGAAATGAATTTAAATGAGACTTTAACATAGTTTTCTTGTAGTCTAATTATTAAATGATTAGAACTCTCATTGAACTTGAATATCAACTAAACATTTTCATTAACACAATTTAGAAATTTGAATCCTATGATAATTTAAGTGTTATGGTTGTTCTTTTTTATTAGTATGCATCAATAGTACATATTAATGGAATTCAGTGTGATATCTATATATACATATAGCATGCACTGATCATAATAAAATCTCCTGGGCACATTCACCTGAGGTAAATTTTACATGACAGTACTTGCTAGTGGTTATCCCTATAGTTACTGATTAAGTAAGAAAGCAATATCCTTTGTACATTTACAAACATTATGTGAAAGTTCAGAATTTCAATAAGAGGGGAGAAGAAAGAAAACCATATGGGAGCACAAAGAATTCTCTATTACCTTCAAGCAGAACCCTATTATAACAAAGTGTGAAAAAAGAGTACATGTAAGGAGATTCATGTTAAAACAGGCACATCAATAAATTAGAGAACAAAAAATAACAAAAAAGGAAGTGTAAAATGTGCCAAAGTGGCTTTTATTCATTTAATTTTCCTGTTAACTTATCAGTGTTATCATGAATTCTATAGAAATTGGACTTGGATGAAAACTTTTTATTATGATTTTAGATCTAAGAACAGAGGATAATTATGTACTAGCTTACAGTTCCTTGCAAAAATAATTACGAAAAATAGTAGAAAATGAAAATCTGAAGTTATTTGAAATCCGAAAATGTAAGCAATTTCTCCTGTATCTTAGTTTGGATCACTTTTGCAGAATCATCAAGCGTATTTGTGTAGAGTATTCTATTTTTCACTAGCAGTGTAGTATGTCCTTCAGAGCTTGGAATAGTCTTTAAGAATCATCTGAAGCTTCTGACTCAGCATGATGTTCCCTCTGGCCTTCAGTCTGCCACTGAAGAATGCCTGGAAAAGAGAGAGGGAAACAGAGTACCAAGTGTTATCATGTCACATTTTGTTTCTTTTTAGAAAACACAACTATTCAGACTAAACACAATTAAGTTAATAACTCCGGACAACTACGCATTTTTTATTTAGCAATGACAGCTTAATAATTACACACAGCACTTATATTTTTTGATAAATAAGAAAAAAAGACTCCTGTGTATTCCAGAAAATCATAGAATAGAGTCTATGTAAATAGGGAAGGGTGGAGGGGGTGAAGGGCGCACAGCTAATGGGGAAAAAATAAGAACGAAGATACATCATGTACAGGTACAAGCACCCAATGATAAATGTAAACATATTGTACACCTAAAATACACCAATAAAAGAATTTAAGCAAAAAAAAAAAAAAGGCTGCTTTCACTATGCAGTTATAGAAACCACAGTCTGCAATTCTTACAGGGAAGGAGTCACTACTTAGACCAGAAATCTCAGGTAGTAAGTTTGAAAGGGACATGCCATTTAAATTATGAATACTTAATGACTTGAAGTAAATATACCAACATTTGGTGGTTATCCTCCAGTTCTATCAATTTTGCTGCAAAGGACATGATTTAATTCTTCTTTATGGCTGAATAATACACCACTGTGTATATATACACCACATTTTCTTTATGAATTAATCTGCAACAGGAACCTAGGCTAATTCTTTATGTTAGCTATTGTGAATAAAGCTGCAATAAACATGGCCGTGCTGATATCTCTTTGTTATGCTTATTTCATATATACCTTGGAGTGTGATAGCTGGATCATATGGTAGTTCTAGTTTTAGTTTTTGAGGAATCTGCACACCATTCTTCATAGTGGCTATACTAATTTACATTCTTGTCAACAGTGTATAAGGGTTCCTTTTTCTCCACAACCTCACCAACATTTTTTTTATAATAACCATTCTAATTAGGTAAGATTGTATCTCATTTTAGTTTTGACTTTCTTCTTTAATGGCTAATCATATTTAACATGTTTTCACATATTTGTTGGCCATTTGTATTCCTTCTTTCAAGAAGAATAGATTATTTCCCCTTTTCTAAAATTAGGTGTTTTTTTGGTTAAGCATTATGAGTTCTTTATATATTCTGGATTTTAGTCCTTTGTCAGATGAAGAGCTGGAAAATATATTCTCCCATTCTACAGGATGTTTTTTCTTTTCTTTTTCTTTTTTGATACCGGGGATTGAACTCGGGACCTTGCGCTTGCGAGGCAGGCAGTGACACCACTGAGCTAAATCCCCGGCCCCAACAAGTTGTCTTTTCATTCTGTTGATTGTTTCTTTTTCTGAGCAGAAGCTTTTCAGTATGATATAATCCAATTTGTCAATTTTTGCTTTTATTTTCTAGATTTTTGGAGTCCTACCCAGAAAATCTTTGCTTATGTCTTGAAGTGTTTTCCTGTATTTTTTTCTAGTAGTTTCAGGTCTTACAATCTTTGATCCATTTTAAATTGTAAAGGGTAGAGATTAGGATGAAGTTTCAATTTTACACATGTGGCTATTCAGTTTTACCAGCACCATTTGCAAAGAAACTATGCTTCCTCCTGTCTCTCCTTAACCACTCTCTCCATTATTCATTTTACTAGCCTTACTGGCCTCCTCACAGAAGTATCAAATAAGCCAAGTTATTCCTGCCTCAGGCCCTTTTACTAGTATTGTAGTTTCTTTAGTCTCATGACACATTTCTTTATTTGGTTCAAATATTAATGAGGTCTTTTGGATAACCATCTCTAAAATAGTTCCCCTATCCTGTCACACTCTAGTCTAAGCATTGACAAACTAAAGCCTGAGGGCCAGATCTACTCTGTTACTTGGTTTTGCAAATAAAATTTTACTGGAACACAGCCATACCCGATTGTTTATATATTAATGATACAATGGCAGAAATGAACAGTGACAATAAAGCCATGTGACCCTTTACAGAAAAAGCTTGCCAATCAACTGCTCTCACCCATTAGTCTACCTTATGTTTTCTTTATGCCTGATTATCGTCTTTTCTATTAGTGCTCTAGAGCTAAGTTCTACACAGGTATCACCTTGTTCAATGAGAACTATAGGCCAGGGATTTAGCTCAGTGGTTTCGCTACCTGCTGCGCAAGCTCAGGGACCCAAGTTCGATCCCCAGTACAAAAAAAGAGAACTATAATCTGAATCAGAGTAGGTATTAAATAAATTCCTGGGAAGGTGCCAAGGTATTATGCTATTCATTTATATTACCGGCTTTAAATCTCATAATTCTTTGGGATCATTACAATTATATCATAAATGAGAAAACTGAAGTGTTAAGATTAAGTGACAGAGCCAAGATGCAAACTTAGATTTGCTAGATGCTAAAGACTATATATTTAACCTCTATACTTTATAATTTTTTCTAAATTACTTTTCAGGCTGGGGATTTAGCACACTGGTTTCACCACCTGCTGCACAAGCACAAGGACCGGAGTTCAATCCCCAGTACCAAAAAAAAAAAAGTACTCTAAATTACTTTTCATATACAAGAAAACAGTATATTTTCTCATTTGTTCACATTACTCTGCTCTTGTAAATGTGTATAGTTTCTTCAAATAAGCACTGTGCTTTGCTTGTGAGGGTAGTCACTGGTATTTTGTACTGTACGTTGTGATTATGAGCAAATTTTCAATTGCACCTTCTAGTTTATGTTGCTGCTATATGAAAATTAGTAATAATTGTCCATCAACTATTTTTTGCACACCTTAATTCTAAGAATCAGTTGATGCTCTTGGAATTTCTAACTACATAATCATGCATCAAAAATAACAAATTTTCTCTTCCATTCAAACTGTTACACCAGCTACTTTAATTTTGTGGGGGGTTTTTTCTTATGGAATGGCAAAAAGTTTCAGAATAACATTAATAACAATCAGAGAAGGCACTCTTCTCTTAACCATGATTTTCCATTGAAATGCTTCTAAATGTTTGGTTCAGAGCTAAAACATCCCCCCAAAGTCTCATGTATTCAGACATAGGGCTTCACTCATGGGGCATTATACTCCTCAGTGGACTATTCACTGAGTTCTTAGGTAAACGTGCTGTCAGGACATGAGGCCTGGTTAAAGGAGGTGGGTCACTGGAGCCATGACCTGGAAGGGTGCATTCTTGCCTGTCTGTCTGTCTGTCTTCTTCCCTCCCTCTTTCTCTCTCTCTCTGGCTTCTTTACTTCTTGGCTGCCATGGATTAAGCAGCGTTCCTCCACTGTGCCCTTCCGCCATACTGTGCTGTTTCTGCCTTGGAGCCAACTAATTATGGACAGTCTTCTGAAACTGTGAGCCAATATAAACCTCTTCTCTCTGAAGTTGCAGTGTCAGGCATCTTGTCCTAGCAACAAGAAAGTGGCTAATACACATGAAATAAGGCATTGCCTATTATGTTACAACATCCTATTTCTAGTTTTCAGTGAGTTCTTAATCTTACACAGGCTGAGCATCCTTAAATCAAAAATCTGATATCATCTGAAATTTGAAACATTTGAGTTCTGACAGCAGCTCAAAAATTTTCAGATTTTGGGGCTGGAGATTTAGTTCAGTGGCACCATGCCTGCCTGGCAAGCGCAAGGTCCCGAGTTTCATCCCCAGCACCAAAAAAAAATAAAAAAACAAAAAACAACAACAACAAAAATTTTCAGATTTTAGAGTGTTATGGGTTTCAGACTTTTGAATTGTGAATGATCCTCCACCAGTAAAGCCTATGCAAATACTCCAAAATCCAAAATATTCTGAAATCTGAAACACTTCGGTCTCAAGTATTTCAGATAAGGGTTCCTCAACTTGTTTATCAAGAATGACTGTCTAATTTTATAGAGTATCCATTAACTTCATATGGGTAAACTAATGATGTAACATATTAGAAAGTCTAAGTGTGGGTTTTTAATGTTGTTTTCATGTTGTATGGTAAAGAGGAATTTCATCCCCAAATTCAGTTTTACAAAATGTCAACTGAAACTCCATTAAAAAAATAATTTGTCAGCCATAATATTGACACCAGTCTTCTTCAGAGTTGTAAGGAATTTTATAAATCAGAATTTGGAAGTCAGCTCAAAAACTGTAATTATCAAACAAGAAAGAAAAAAGAATCAATGAAAATTTTGAGACCATTACCTTCTGAGGGTCAAGCTTGCCCAGGACTACCTCCATGAAATCTTCATCTGAAATTATGATGGTTGTATCAGCAGAGCCTTCTGCAGGACCTTGGTACACTTTTCCAGAATCATTTTTCAGATCAATAGCTGGGAAAAACAGGAAAAAAACAATGTGTATTACTTTTTCTCCCTCAAAATATAAGAGTACGGTACATTAAGCAAAATTCAGAAAGTTTTTAATTTCCAAGTTAATGTGGTACTTATTCTATACCTTCTATATAGTTAATATTTGTCATTTAGAAAATCTCTTTGCCTTTCTTATAAAGAAGTTCTTTGAAGTATTCCACTTCTAATGGTTTTCTACAAGTTTTTACAGAACTAACAACTTACAAGTATGAATTAATGTAAAGTGAAATTATAATGAAGCAAAATGAAATTCAAACAGACTACAGTCCATAAAAGAGAACAGTTGAATTTTAAAACAGTTATATATTGGTGGGTTGAGGGATACACTCTACTCACCTTTCAAGTACTTAAATTTAGCGGAGGTTCCACTATATGAGTAGCAAGATAACAAAATTAAACTTGAACAATTTTCTAGTTTGTCATATATTATGATTTATAAAATATTTAATGCCATAAGTTTTTAACTACTTTCTCTTTAACAAATTTTTTGACAAAAAGATTAACTGTCCCAGAAACAGGCTGAGTACATGAACTATTGAAAAATGTAACTTTATTGCTATCTATACAACATTTATAGGACTTTAAACTAAAATTATACTTTAGAAAGTCTAAAGAATCGAATGTATGATTGAGACCATGCATACAGGAAAACCAATTCCATTCATGAATGTACTTTCTCTTACTCCAGTGGAGGAGCTGCCATCCTATCGCTCTCTCTAGAATGTGTAAGAACTCCCAACTGAAGGTCAAGACAAAGCTACATACGCACAGGAAACCCCAGTGTGCTTAGCATTCTGCTTAGCAAGCCCTGCTCCAAATACAAAATTAAATTACTTCAACTCTCTACAAAAGAGAATTTTGCGAACAAAACTAAAGGAAGAAAGAAAAAAGAGAAACAATGTTTACTTTGGTAAAAGGCAAAGGCAAAAAGAGAAGGGACCATTTTGTTTTTTGTATACTTCATTAATTCACCTAAGTTTCTAGTATGGGTGTCAAAAAATATGTGAGGTACTAGAAGTATAATATGAAGAGCAAAGCCCCTGGTCTTTACTGGCAAATTATATGAAAATACCTTCATAATATGTATTATTTGGTATGGCATTAAATAAAGGGGAGGAGTGAAAGGGAGGAGGGAAGGAAGTGGATGGAAAAACTTTTTTTTACAGTGCTGGGGATTAAAACGAGGGCCTTCACACTGGACTATATACCCAGCCCTTTGTTATTATTTTGTTTTTTGAAACAAGGTCTTCTTAAAGTTGCCCAGGCTAGATCTGAACTTTCATTCCTTCTACCTCAACCTCCCAGAGTGCTGGGCTACACTACACCCAACACTACACCCAAATGGAAAGCAAGATGTTACATAAAATCATGCTCCTGCATTCCATAGATTTAACATTAATTCTGCACAAGCCTGAAGCCCTATTTGTATTTATATATATATACACACATTTCTATATATACTTATATGCATATGTATATTTATTTTTATATGTATAAAAGTATATATTTTTATATATGTAAGTAGGTATATATAAAAAGTAGATATATATATTTATTCCTGAGATAATATATATATTATCTCAGCAATAAAATAACACTACACATAGCTTAATGGAAGACTACAGGAATAAAACTCTGTTATTAACAGCTCTTAGCTACCTACTTTCCTTCTCACTCACAGGCATTTTTACAGGCTGTTTCACAACCATGATCTTTCAAGGGATAAAACGTCTTTATGAAAAGCTAATAACTAATGCTGATAAAAGAAGGCTAAGAAAGTGTATTTGTATTCAACAAGAATACAAAAATTGGGGGTAAACACTAGTCATGGGTCTACAATATGGCTCATGCAGGAGAACCCACCATTACCTTCAACTTACAGATACCTGTGTAAGGTCTGGCCAATCTTAGTGTAAAAATGAAGAAATTGATGGCATGTGGTTTCTTTTAGTGTCAGAATTTAAATGTTTTATGAATAATTTTAACTCTAAATAATCATTAGGGCCCTGAAACAGTTCATTAAAATTTCAGACTTAACAGCTTTTAGTGAAGGAAGGTTAAGGTAATAAATGAGAATGTGGCATTTAAAAAACTGGCACTGCAAATCACAAAGAGCTACTATAAGAGAAAGGAGCTACTTTCACTATGTGTGCCTCCTACTCTGAGGGTTATCAGGTCTTTGTGGGCACAGACACTTCTTGACTTTGTATCCCATGTACTTCTTTGAAGGGAAAGGACAGTATTAAGAACTGTTTGTGAAATGGATAACTAGATAAAGACATGAAAGAAGAATCTCTGTCAAAAAAATAATAATAAAGGGTAAACAGGTTAAAATTTAAATTTAAAAAATAAGCAACATTTTTGTGCTGTTTCTGCTAAAATTCATTAATAAACAAATACAAACTAAGAAATATTCTCTAAAACTGCCTCCATTCTTCAAATATACTGTATATCAAGGTCATTTAAAAACAAAGAAACACATTGCTTCTCAGCCTTTTGGCTAAGATCAAGTGTAAAAACAGAGAAACACATCCAGACTAACCTGGAATGAAGAGACTTAATGCAGGGCTGAGTCTCAAATTAGACATTGATCAGGTTTTTTTCCTCTCTTTATTCCTATCATTGTTATTATTACTATCATTATTCTTTTGCTACAAAGGGCATAATTGGGGCAATTGATGAAGCTGTTAATGCAGTCTATAGGTTAGATAACAGTGTATCAATTTTATAATCCTAATATTGATAACTGCTCTGCGAATAGGTAAGAGAAGGTCTGTGTTTTTAAGAAATGCTACTAAACTAGGCTTTATTTTTAGGGTACCATGTCAGCAAGTTATTCTTATAAAATGGGATAAAAATTTTAACAATTTGGAAAGACTAGATGAAGGACTGATGAAAGTTGTCTGTTTTTCCATAAATCTGAAATTCTTTTGAACAAAAATTATAAAATGATATTATTAAGAAGAGTAACACATATAGAAGGAGAAAAGCTGTAATTGTTTTAATTGATTTTTTAAAAGTACTTTTATGTGTACCTTTGAGAGCAAATACACATGGAAATGTAGTCAGGGGCTGCTGCTATAGGGGGAGAAGCAGTCACTGTTGCTAAGGAAACACTCTGCAACAAACAGGGCCCCCACTCCTGCCTGGAAAGCACATTTCTTTCCAAAGGTCATCTTTTTCTTTAAATGCATGATATACTCTTCTGAATCTCAATCCAAAATTTAAGACCAACATCCTTAAGATTTAGTTTATATCTCAGCTGAGAAACCCTAAAAGATAATCTGGTTTGACTAGATTACAAATCTGGAAAAGTTACAAAATTCACTACATTACAAAATGCTAGAATCATAAAATCAGGAGTTCACATGCTGTGATGATCAAATGGTATGCTCAAGAATGCCACTGATCTCAAAAGAATGCCAGTTTCCAAATCTCTGGCACATTTTCTCATTTTTTAGACCTTACTCTTCTCTACCCATATCTTCGACAATTCTGTGCTTAAAACTCAGTGTCTAACATGCTTTCACCTATAGGAGAAAAGTTTAATTCTACAATGGAGGAACAGAAAGGAGGAAGGAAAGATGAAAGTACAGTTATGACTCACTGCATATTCTATTAATCTTCAACATATCAGGCACTTTGAAATGGGGAAGAAATATATATGAGGTGTGATCAAAACTACAGAACTGCTTCAATATTAAAAATTACAGGCCAGGGATTTAGCTCAGTGGTGCCACCGCCTGCCTCGCAAGCACAGGGTCCCAAGATTGATCCCTGGTACCAAAAAAAAATATTACAGTAAAAGACACATGACCATTAATCCCTCTCAAAGTACTCCCCATTGCTTCAAACACACTTCTCCCATCATTCTTGCCACTTTCTGAGGCAGTTCTGGATATCCTCTTTCATGAGTATCTGTAGTTGGCATTATCATGGCTGCCTCAATGTCCTGAATCAATTCCAAACATTCACCTTTTATGGTCATTTTGACTTTGGGGAAGATTCACAAGACACACAGTGCCAAAGCTGGTAAATAAGGTAGATGAGGACACACTGTAATGTTTTTACTAATCTGCCTTTCCATAGAATGGCATGTGAAGGCAGTATTCATCATATTTTCTATCACATCTCATAGATACTCACAAAGACTCTCAGAACTGCTTTAGAAAGTGGTGAAAATGATGGGATAATGTGTTTGAAGTGAAGGAGAGTGTTTTAAGGGGGATTAACAGCAATGTCTTTTACCAGAACTTTTTTTTAATTTCCCTATGCACCATCTTTTTTGATCAGCCCTTGCACCACATGGGCAGATCTTTTCTCCCCTTTTTCTCCTTTCTAATTAACTTCCTATAAGCACAAATATCTTCCAGAACAAAAACCAGAAGATTAATTTTGGGTACTGGGATTATACATCATTATTTTTCTTTATACTATTGTATAACAAGTTGTATATAATGAACACATCCTACCTAAAAGGAATAGCAAATATTAAAAGTGATTTATACTGAACAAAACTTTAAAATGTTGTCTAAGAATAGACTATTTCAAAAGTTCCATTTTATCTAGGTATGTTTTAGGTTTTTGGTCTAACAGAGCATTTATAGTGATCTTTTAGTTGTAACAAATAGTAAAACAATGTGATTTTCAAGGCGGTTAAACAGGTACGCTTAAAGGCAATCTCAGAATAAAAATAATGAAACTTTTTAATATATTAGCTTCTGCTATGCAAGTAAAAACCCAAACATACCACTTTTCCTTTAATCTATCTGTGCAGATAATTACCTATATGGTGCACAAACGATGCCAAGTGAAAAGATGATTCATTCCATCACTTATAGAGCAGAGCTTTCACAAGCACACCCTACAGCCCTTGACTTCAGATAACAATACAGTCTACTACATTTAATGCACTAGCTCACCGTCTGCACAGAACTACAACCAAACTTCAGCTGGGCTAAAAGTTAAATGGTCTACAGTACAAACAAACCACAAGCCTCCAGAAGTCCCACATCTTTCCAGGGGCACTTAGCCAACCCACACATGGTCTCCACTCTCTCACTATTATATTAAAGACAGGAAAGGTCCTCTGAGTTATAAATTACCCTAGATACTGCTTCCTCCACATTAGTAAGCAAATTCGGGTACCACAGTTGCTTGACTAACAGTAAAAACACTTTATTCTTCCAGGTAGAAAAGTATGAAAAAATCAAAAAGTTTTAATGAGCATTCAACGGGCATACTATAATTCTCCAACAACTCCAGAGATCAGAATACTCTAAAACATAAAGATAAGGCCACACAGCAGATGTGGAAGACCTGGTAAGAGTTTTTTCTCTTATTCTCTTTATCTTCTAAATTTGTCTTTCTTCATAAAATGGTGGCAGGGTCTCTCTGGACCTCTGTGTTAGTGAAAGGAAATGTGACTGCTTTCTTCCTGCATTTCGGTGGTTTATGTAGGGTGCCTGGCCAGCTTGCAAACATGGTACAGTGGTATTCTCTTGGATAATTTCCCTGACAGATAAATAAGCACCTTTGACTGCAATCTGTATGCCTCAAGCAAATAATTATGCTTTCATACTAATAAGATGCTAATTTATTGTTTGGCGATGAAGAAAATAATTCTTAAACTGTCAAATATAATGACTTAAAATATTTCCACTGACCAAAGAAAGGCAAAGATTTTTAAAAATATGCAGCTCCCTGGTACTGGAAAAAATTAAAATTAAAAAAAAAAAGTAAAATATGCAGCTACCATGACTGTTTTAAAGTACAGTAGTATCTCGGTTCTAAGGCCCTCCTTGGATGTCACATTCCAAGGATGCTCAAGACCCTTATATAAAGTGGCATTGCATTTGCATATAACCTTCCAAATATTCCCTTATACTTTTTCTTTTTTTATTAGTACATGTTTTCAGTATATGATGTTATATTCATCACAGGGAGTTGTTACATGTAAGTAACACATCTCGATAATTTTTACTTCCCCTTTCTCCCTTCCTATCTCTAGATTACTTATAACACCAAATATAATATAAATAGTTGTTATACTGTACGGTTTAGGGAATGACAGCGGGAAAAAAGTACCTTTACAAGTTCAATACAAATGCATCATTTAGACCTCACTACATTTCCAATGTGTAGTTGACTGAATTTGCAGGTGTGGGGTGAAAACAGTACTAATATTAGGTACTACAATGAAATATTTTAAAAGGATGTCTTTAACTTTTTCCTGCGTGTCTTTAAAAAAAAAGAAAAGAACTATTGTCACTGAGCACCTTGAAACCTGTTAGTTCAAAAAAAAAAAAAAAACTTTACCTAAGTTTACCTACCTACAAAGAGACTATCTTTAATTATAACAAGAACACTTTTACCTGTTAAGAGTTATCTTAAAATATTAAAGAAATCACCAATATGACTTACTCCACTTAGCTGCAATACTTCCACCTTTAGTAATATGCCATTCAAATATAGCATTTACTTTCTTTACCACCTCCTTTCCGACATCCTTAAGTCGACGATTTATTTCCTCAAATACAAAAGTACTCTGCAGTTCCCCACTCTGGCAAAACGATAAAATGTAATTTCAAAAGTTCTGTAAAAATGGACTCAAAGAGAAAAATAATTATAAATGTGTACAATAAAAATTATTTTCTTAAAAATATGCATATAACTATAACTCACTAAGAAGATTCATTAGAATTCAAAAATTTTATATATAAAAGTTATATATATAATATATTTTATATATATATATATCTATATCCCCACCATACCCCTCCCATTACCCCCCTGGACTGGGGATTGAACCCTGGACCCAATGCTTTCTCACTGAGATATATCCCAGTCCTTTTTAAAGTTTTTATTTTGAGACAGGGTCTTACCAAATTGCCCAGACTAGGATCAAACTAGTAATCCTCCTCGTCTTAGTCTCTCAGAGTTCTGGGAATATTTTAAAAGTAAACTAGGAACTAGACAATCTGTCCTAGTTAACTTCAGGAAGATACTGAACGATTCAACTTTTGTAGTCTCATTTTTGTTTATGTGAGTAAATTACATGAAGTCTGAATTTCTTTCCAGCTCTTCAGAGATTTTAATTTTTAGTCAGTTATATGATAAGATGGTTTATGGCAGGAAATTAAGGCCCATAGGTAAGAAACCTCAACATTTTCAAGTTAATATTTTGGAAACAGAATATAAACATTTTTATTAAACATCTCAGCATGTTAATAGAGGATACAAATGTTTTAGTAAATATTACATATTCTTGTTTTCATAGAGTACACATTTTTATACAAATATTTAAATCAAGAAAAGGTATAGGATATTTAAATTTTTCACCTATTGTTATCCAACATACTCTAAGGTTTCTCACTAAACAACTGATTTAGATGCTCTAAAATCAGAAAATATTTTCTCCTGAAAAATGTCCTTCACATTAAAATTATGAATCTTTTCATACTCTTTATTTTCTAAAATAGTCTGAACATTCTTGAAATGATAACAAATTTATAAGCAGGGAAATGATTTGGATATCAGTTTTTATAACCTACCTCAGGGTGTGTCTTAGCTGAAATACGAGATGGTGGTAGAAGATCTACATACGCATTTGAAATGACAATATCTCCAGTTTCTTGAATCTTATAAGTAGAACAAAAGAGGAAAAAGAACAGTTCATCTGAGGATTTTATTGGAAACAAATTCTGTGAAATGCTAGTTATTTAAAATGAATTTATATTTTTGTTTCATATGAAAAAGAAAATAATCCAAATAAAATAAAAAGTTAATAATGTAAATGATAAGAGGAATAATGAAGGCTTTCTAATTTAATACAATTGTTATTGTTAACCCTGGCTGTAAAACAAATGAAGCCTTAAAAAAAAAAAAAACCTATGACCAGGTCGCATCCCCTAAAGTATCAATTTAAATGGCCTGCAATGGAGCCACCACATTGGTATTTGGGGAAATTTTTTTTCCAAATATATAAGCGTTTTTTAATGGGGAGCAAAGTGAGAAGTGTTAAATTCTTATAAATAGTAAAAGACATGGCACAATATCCACCCAAAGCACATTTTTTCTGTTAATATAGAATTGGCAAGGAAAATACTGTAATAGTCCTGTTAATGTAGTAATTCGAGTTCTTATTTCAAATTGGAAGTATACATGGCATAAAATGAATGTCTAAATAACCTTTTATCAAAATAGCTATTAAAGGAATTCTAATTCCTAATCCTTTATTTCAAATTATCTCAATGACTATTCTTTCATAAAAATTACAGTATTGCTACAATAGCAAAAGATAATTTCTAGAAGTTAAGGTAGCACTTAATTAAAATTTTGATTTTTATCTGTGAAGGAGTTTTCTGAACATGGTAACCAATTTATTTTGCTTGCATTATCCTTTTATGTGCACTATAGACATATATTTTAAGAATCTACATTTAAGTCAAACAGCTCTTTCAGGAAATATAAAATAAAAATTCCAGTGGTAGAAAAAAAAAAAGATGATGATACAGTACAAAGAGATAGGATAAGTTTGGGAGACAGTATGACCTGAGTTTTTATCCCAGCTCAACCACTTGCTGTGTAGCAAGTTATTTACAACATCAAGAATTTTTTATGAACACAGATTTTCTTATATTTCAGGGCAGTTATTATGTATATTAAACACTGTAATACAGTCTGCTTATAATGTCTCAATAAATAAAGCTGTTACTATTACTGTTGGAGTTGTTAAACCTGCTCTGTGTAATAAAAAATGATCAAGCCAAAAAGTTTTAGCTGGTTAAATGTGTTAACAAAAATTATTTTTTAAAAACTTACAAATAAAACAATGATTGAATGTCTTTTTAGTGTAATACAACTTTATTTGGTTTGTCACTTACTATTAGAGCCCAGGCTGCAATGTAAGATGTTAGTTTGTGGATTACTGTGTGATCAAGAAATATATGATTTCTGTCTAGAAAAAGTAACTATGAAGAATGTAATTTTATTGTTCTACAAGACATTAACTAGTTTGGGCTCTAACTCAGCAAAATTATTTTAGGATGCCTTTCCTGTTAGACTGTATCAGGTATTATTCTAATTCTCTTTTGAACCAGCTTTCCCATGCTGCAGGACCTTTAAAATTTTAAAAGAAAATAAAAAACAAGGTACATAAGGTATCTTATGTTCATTTACAAATTACCACTGGTTTAAAGAAAAAAAAAACAATCTTCTAAGTTTTGTCTCAAATCCATATTACAAAAAAAAAAAAAAACTAAAGAAAAGCTGGTAAGAGGCACAAAAGGTCAGGGTATGGTGAGGAGGGTAATAAAGTAAAGCACTTCCAACTCTTTTCATACCTTGGTTTGAAAATGAATTCTATTATCTTCCTTCCACATCTCAGTTCGTACAGTTTGTCCTGGATATACTGGTTTTGCAAAACGAGCCTTTAAAAAAAAAAAGAGTTGGTTATAGAATTAAAAATGCTTTTAACAAACTCTACTTGTGGTGGGAAGGGATGTGGTCGTAGGTCAGAGTGCATAATAGAAAACAGAGGTTTAAATATATTTGGATGAGTGAAAGACCTAAAATTAATATAAAGAAACAAGTAGAGAAAGCATATATAGTACAAAAAAAGTGAACAAATTCTTTGTTTCAAAATACAGAATTATTAAAGCAATGGTTTTTCTTGACATACCAAGAAACAAAACCATATTGAGTAATTACATAGGTCAACACTACAACAATTTAAAGAAAAAGTTAAAGGAGGTACTTATTAAATATGGAAGAATGAGGCCTGGAAAGAGTATACAGGGCAAAATAATTCTACCTTTTAGTTCATAATTTTCTGTAATATTTTGGCTCTATGTATACATTATTGGATAATAAAATAACTGAAATAAAATAAAAAGCATGAGAAAAATCAGTATTACCAAGGGCAAGGCATTAGAAAATGTATTTTCAATGTTGCATAAAACGGATACTAATAAAAGGTTTTGGAGCTATTTGATACTACCTTCAATGTTTTAAGTGTTCACCTTTGACTTACAGAAAAACACTGTAGGCACAGATACTTGCCCTTGTTATATACAATGGATAAATTTTGAAATCAACAAAAACAAGCAATATGCAGCCATCATACTCCTATAGGTATATGTTTATTAGAGTTCAAATACATACATGCACCTAATATTTTCAGATAAATTAAGGCAAATTTAAAAACAGGAAAAAATAGTAAATCAAGTTTTTTAAGCATATAGGTTGATATATGTATATTCCTAATTAATTTATAAAACCAATTAATCTGTTAAAACTGTTAACTGTATTAAATTGTGCCCAAGTAATACAGCTAATTATAACTAAAAGAAAATATGCCGATTGTCAACTCAATGAAATAATAAAAATATATATATATTGCTGCAATGTAACAGCTATTTTAAATTAAGCCACTAAAAATTCCTTTTCTTTAATCATAGAAAAAGAACAAATATTCAAATTATGCATATACCTTAATTGCCTTGAACCTTGACACATCATTATCTGCAAACTGCTGTAAAACATGCCTGGCAGAAAATCCAAAGGTGCATAATCCATGTAATATGGGCTTCTCAAAACCTAAAAAAAAAAGAGAGAATTTAGATGAAAATAGGTACTTCTCATATTTAAAAAACAAGTGTACAGTTAATTCAAGATTTTAAAATACAACTTTAAATAGCAGTATAATAAATTATATCATCTATTTTAAGAAATATGAAAAATATTTTGTAAGTACTAGAAAAAAAATAGGAAAAGAATGTGAGAGATATGGGAATACAAAGACCATGAAAATCACTGATGGTGATTTATTTCAATATCCATGCAGATAAACTATCCCTCCCTAACCTTTCGGTTCCTTGCTCTCTCTTTCCTCATCTTTCCTGACATCTCAGACACTCTTCTCCCCACACCGTCCTAAAGTTGGCTCACACAGAAGCTTCATTCCCCCATAATCTAAATTCCAAGTACACCATTTTCTCAATATTATGTCCTACCTTTCCATATTCTTTGCATAAATATAATAAGAGAACTACATTTAAGATGTTGCTCAAATTACTAGTCATAAGTGCCAGTTTAAGTTATTTAGATAACTGAGCTAATAATTTTCACTCATACATATTAGCAACTCACCTGCAAGGCTTGCAAAGTTAGGGTCAATGTGTAAAGGATTCCAGTCCCCACTGAGGCGGTACAAAGCAGCCTGTGAAAAAAGGATTACAAATGCTACTAGCATTCGGTATTTTTTAAGAAAACATTAAATCATTACATGAAAAATAGGAAACATGGCTGGTTTTTGTATAAAATATGCATCAAAATGTACCTAATCCAGGTTCTGATTTTTAAAATAATTACTAAATAAAAAAAGGCTGGGAATGTGGCTCACCAGCAGAGAACCTGCCTAACATATACAAAACCCTGGGTTCAATCCCCAGAACCACCACCAAAAGAAAAATAAAGATTATCTCTAAATTAAATGTTTTGAGTAATACCTGACACTGAAATCATTAAAGGAGGGGTAAAGACTAGGATTGTCAAATAATAGGAAAGGAAACCTAGAACTACATACCACTGCCTAAGGAGGAATTCCCAAAAGGAATTCATCAATCTATTCTCATTAAAACACAAAGAAGATAAGGAAAATGTTTATAGTTGCTTCTAACCAGCTTTCTTAATATGGTATTTTAAACTGAAGCCTGTAACACAATGTTAGACCACAAATATCAAAGACTTCTTACGATCTTCCATTCTTCTGTTATACTAAATCCTGAATATCCGCTTATCCTGCAAAAAAAAGACTATGCCAGGATATTTAAATTTATGCTTAGCCCAGATTTTCACACTGCTACTTTACTTAGATAAGGTAGGATTAGTAGAAAGATTTAGATACAATAGAGAAAAAGTCACTGTACTTCCTGGCGTTTAAATTGTACGTTTTTCAAGGTACACAGTACTTCTGAGAATTAAAAGAAAGAAAGTCACAAAACAGCTAATAGATATTTAATGGGTCTATATATTAACTTGAACCTTTTGGGTCTACCTCAAAACTTCTTCCCTTTCTAAAACTATTAAAATGTGGTGTAAAGACTAGCCATTTAAGCATATCTAACTTTTAAAATTATTTTTAAACAAGTTTGATTTTCAGAAAATAACTTTCTGTAATTCAGAAAACTTCATTTCCTTATATGCTCTGTATAATTATAATGAGCTCTTTTCTTTCCCCATTACTACATATGACAGTTATATGTTATTTACTTTTTAAATGACTCAGTATCTTTTTGTCTTCTAAATATAACTAAATTAATAACTACTGAACACTAGTGACTTACAAAATTTTGTAAAAGATATCAGAGAATTACATAATTTTTACAAGCGGGCTGGGGATTTAGCTCAGTGGTACCATGGCCTGCCTCACAAGTGCAAGGTCCTGAGTTTGATCCCTGGTACCAAAAAGAAAACCCCCAAAAAACATAATTTTTACAAGCATTTTACAAGCAGTAAAACACTGTGGAAATATTATCATGTTGTATATAAAACAAGGACACCACACATTTCAGGCCTCTAGGGGAAGTTGTCAGATACATCATAGACAATATTCTAAATCTGTTTTGAAATAAATTTGACAACTTCTAAGAAGTACCTTGGAAGACAAATTAATGAAACTAACTCTGGAGGAAATATAAAATTTGAATAGCACCTATTAAAGAAAGTATATTCCTAGCTTGAAAACCTACCTATATGACAGCAACAGGCTCATAAACATTTTAACTGATAAATTATATGAAACATTTAAAGCAGAGAAAAAGAAGGAACACTTCTCCCCTCATTTTAGGAAATCAACATTGTGCTAATACAAAAACTGGATAAAAATAATAGAAGAAAAAAAGAATGAACAAAGATAGAAATTTGTTTAATAAAACAAACTATTAGAAGTCAGATCTGGCAGTATGTAGAAAGTGGTTTTGTTGTAGGGATGGCAGTGTTGGTTCAGCATTGGAAGATCCACCCCCAAAAGTCATCATTTTAACATAGAAAAGGAAAAAGCCATATGATCCTGTCAGTAGTTGGAGAAAAAGTATTGGACTAAATTCTACAGCTGTTCATCGTAAAAGCTATCAGGAGACTAGAAGTAGAACAGAACCTTCTCTTGAGAGTTTTCTTAAGAGTTCTAGCCAGGGAACCCAGATAATAGTATATCCGACAGCTGACACAGTCTTTCTGTGTTGGGGAAGGTCTCTTCTATGACAAAGAGCCCACCTTTTTGAAGGACGCACATGGAGTGAAGGAGACACCTAGCCAGTGACTGGTGGCGTGATAGATGTGGCAGCCAGATGTCCCTCATCTCCTATTAACTTTCTACTATTCTTTAATCAGATTTTATTTCCCTTTTCTCTCATCTTCCTTTTCGTTTTCAAAATTTACTTTGTTCATTTTCCCCTTCCTTCATTTTTATTAATACTATTAAGCTTTACTAACTTTTAGCTATTTTGCTGTTCTTCTCTCCTACCTTCTACCATTATTCTCAACCCCTTCCCTAACAAACCGTGAGCCAATATCTCTGGGAACAGAACATCTACACACTGTCTAGCCCTAGTTCATTCAGCAAGGGCCATTCTTTACTACCATACCCTTCTGCGTCTCTCTTCAAGAGTGCATCCCTTCTCAGGTGTCACAACACTTATGCTACACATCAAACCCTGAGCTTAATCCTATATATCTTGGTTACTTCAGACATCTACATCCTGAGTATCCAACTGTCCTTTCCATTCCTTGAAAATGGGTTTTCTGAACCATAAGCCTTTTCTACCCTAACAAAATTAATCTCTCTTAGGCTTTAAGTATGAGTGCATTCTTAGGAAACTGACAAAAATCAGAGACAGGAACATTTAAAGGAAAAAAAACTAAGGATAAATAATATTCTATCTCCATCACCTGATTATTGGGTACACAAAAAAATGTATAAATCTTAATTCTTGTGAAAATTGTATTTCTACTTGCTAGAAAATAAATTCTGCATGTGTTCATATCAAACATGCCAAAATTAACAACAAAAATGTAAGTGAACATTATAAAAATCTGGTGTAATATGTTTTGGGTTTTTTTTACTTAAATTCTTTTATTGGTACATTTTAGGTATACAACACATTTACATTTCTTATTGGGATCTTGTAGCTTTACATGATGCATGGTGTAATATGTTCATAGACAGCAAACTCCAGAGTCTTATGAATTCTCTGCTGTATCTACATCATTAGTCTTCTGACTGCCTTAGAAGAAAATCTTGAAGTCTCTCAACAAAACACTTTTTATCACTGTCTTTTAAAAAAAATAGTACTGAAGCCTGAATTTACATTGAGATATATCTTCCTTCCTTCCTTCCTTCCTTCCATTACTAATTGCCCAGCATAGCCGTGAACTTGTCATCTCTCTGCCTCAGCCTCCCAAGCTACTAGATTATGGGGCATGCACCACCAGGCTTGGCTGTACCTTAAATAAATCTTAGCATGTTCACAGAATTTGTGAACTGACAGGGCATTTATCTTCTCTACCAGAAAACAAATTGTTTATGGTAAACAAAGATTAAATCCTATATAGTATCTAAGATGTTTTATTTTGCCTATACTTTAAAGTTAACATGAAATAATCTGTTTCCAAGTAATGTGGCACAATTTTCTTTTCCAATGTGGTAAGCCTGATTAAAACTTGCGTTTTGTGTTTTATTTTGTTTTGTTTTGTTTTAAGAGAGGATCTCACTATGTAGTTCAGGCTGCCCTTGAACTCACTCTGTAGCCCAGGCTGGTCTGGAACTCATTGTGATACTCCTGCTCAGCCTCCCAAGTATTAGGATTACAGGCAACCACGCCCGACTAAAACTTGCCTTGTAGCTCTTATTTATCCTATTTTCTAAACCTTCCATGAAATTCTCCACTATTAATTCTCACTATTAGCTAATCTCTTTAAACCAAGCACTCTGTTGTCAATAAAGCACATTGTTTTTGGAACTGACCAATGAAAAGCTGGATATTACTTTCTTTTAAGAGCTAATGGAGAAAAGAACTAAAAACTAAAAATTTTGAAAGAATGAGTTTCAACTACAGGAAATATCCCTTCATTTTTATCAGGCTGAAAACACAGGCACTACTAGGTAAATGAATGCACCTCAAGACCATAATGTTAAGTAAAATAAAAATCAGACAGGGCAGGGGATTTAGCTCAGTGGTTCTGCCACCTGCCTCGCAAGCAGAAGGTCCTGAGTTTGATCCCCACTACCAAAAAAAAAAAAAAAAAAATCAGACACACGAGTTTAAATATCACATGGTTTCTCTTATATATATGCATATATGATAAATCCAAAATATAAATTAAAAGCAAAATGAAGGATAAATAATATGAAGTAGGGAAATCTTTTTCAAATGAGAAGGAAAACAAGAGATGGAGAAAGGGAAGAAAGGGAAAAAGGATTTAAAAAGAGAAAATCAAAGAAAAAATGGAAATAGAGCTTTTTCAAATGGGAACGGGATTAAGAGTTGGTCAGAGCAGGGAGATATGGGAGGGGAAGGGCACAAAAAAGAACTAAGATGTGTTATGTACATATACAAACTCCCCACAACAAATAATCATTATGTACTGTAAACATGTACTAATAAAAAATACATTAATAAAATTTTTTAAAGTATAGAGAGTATAGAGAATCAGAGTTATAAATAAAAAAAGTATCATCAGGCAGGTGGATTTATCACTTTTGAAAAACACAATCTTACCTGATTGAGTGAGGTGTTATCTGTAATCACAGCATCAGGAGGTCTACTAGGGATGGCTACAGCCACCTACAATCAAAAGATATTGTATGTTAAATCTCAAATATTGTGATTTTCTTTATGTAAAAAAAAGCTACCATGTTTCAATAGAATAAATTCTTCGAGTTGGATAAAAGGGGTTTTTATTTAATATTTTGATTAATTTTAATATTTTAGGAGATAATGGTCATTTAAAATTTCTTAACTCTTAGCTTCATATACATTATAATTTCCCTGAAGTGACCCTTTTTAAGGTAAAGAACCATGTAATCATATCCATTCTCCTGGTCACAAAGAAGAAAAAGTTATAGTTTTCCCGTGTGAAAGACGATGACAATATCACTTAGACATACAATCAATCTAAACTGAGTCAGTCTTTAAATTTGTTTTTTTTAAATCCTTATTTTAATTTGCCATTTTAACAAAATTATACATTTTAAACACAGTTACCAACAACTCAGTTATGATGACGTCTTAATACCAACATTTAAAACTACTGATGAAAACTTAGCAGCATGTACCAAGTATAGATCTGAGCACAAACTTAGGTTGAAAATCAAAGTAAAAACATCCTCAGCAGGTGAACTGTATTCAAGTAGCTAGTGCCTACTTTTCAATAATTTATAAGGGAAATATTAAATTATTTGTTTTGTCTCCATTAGGTAAATTTTTACAACAGTCAGCTTTTATTCTTCTAGAGTGCTAAGGAAATAGCAATTTTTTCACTTTTAAAATGCTAAGCTCAGATATATTCCCAAATCCATCCTTACAGACACACACAAAAACATCACTGAGAAAGCTGCTGCATTTCAAACAAGAGTTTTCTGTTTATCAAAATTTACTCTATGGGGGCTGGGAATTTAGCTCAGTAGTGCCCAGGCACAAAGTCCTGAGTTTGATCCTTAGTACCAAAAAAAAAAAAAAGAAAAAAAATTACTCTATGAACTGAACCACTTCTTTATTGCAGGCACATGCAGTGTATTTTGCAGGTTTCATTTAATTTATTTTCAAGTCATTCTACTAAGTTTTGGAGCAGTGATATTTGGGGAACAGATGTGACTCTTAACTTCTCTGGGCTTTCTTCTAAGTTTGTTTAGTAGCCCTTATTTCACAAAACCAACTCTTAGCTACAGTCAGAAAGATATGTGCCAGGGGTATGGGAGATGGGCAGGTTGCCGTAACAGTTTTACTGTTAATATGACAGCAACCAGTTAACAGCACGGGGCTTCACCATGATATACCATCACCTTGTACTGTTTCCAAGGCAACAAAGATACTAGTGAGGAACTTCTGTTCAATTATTGCAAATATATCTAGAGAAGGTGGTCTAGCTTAGATTCTTGGCTGGTCCACAATACTTGTTACCCAACATTAAAATGAACATTATGTAACTGGAGATTTGCGGCCTAGCATTCAAAAAGCCCTGGATTTAAAACACAGCACCACATTAAAAAAGAAAAGAAGGGGAAAAACAAACAGTACATTGTTTTTACTTTACCTAATAAAAGATCAGATTTATATTTTTCCCTTTATAACGTCTTCATTAAAAGCTTGAAAAATATCAGTGAATATTTTCCAAGCTTTTCATCCAAATAAAACCACACTGCATATGCTGATGCAGTATACAACTTGCATTAGGGTTTTTTACAACTCTGTAAGTCACTAAAACTAGAAAGGTTATTACATATGTGGGGCTGTGTCTAAGACTGTCAGAGTAATTTGCCCACACACAAGAAACCAAAATTTTTTTAAATGCAGTTCTAAAATATGGTTTTTATAAAGTATTGATCAATGTTACTTTTTGAATAGCTGTAATTACACATAATTTACACACAACTCATTTAAACTGAACAATTCTGTGGCTTTTAGTATTTCACAGAGTTGTACAATCATCACCACAGTCAACTTCACTACACGTTCATCTCCCCAAACAGAAACCCTATCTGCCTATACTCCTTTGCTATAAGCCTGTAAAGCAATTTCCAGAAACAAGGGCTGGGGATTTAGCTCAGTGGTTCCGCCGCCTGCCTTGCAAGCGCAAGGACCTGAGTTCAATCCCCAGTACCAAAACAAAAAACAAAACACAGAAACGAAATGGTGCTTTTTATTAACGCTTTTACAAGTTATGATTGTTTCACTGGCAAGAAGCTCCTCGTCACCATTCTAGAAGTCACCCCTCAATACTGTTTTAAATAATATTTTATTTAGTACAGAAGACTAGTAACTACAGTAGAATCTTATTCTTCAAATGCCTGAGATAAAGACCAAGTTAAAATAATATAACAATCCAAATTATGGAACTGGTGGCTCATACCTAAAATCCCAGCACTCTAGGAAGCTGAAGCAGGAGGATTGAGTTTGAGTCCACTCTGAGCAACTGAGTAAGACCTTGTTGCCAAAAAAAAGCCCCAAACAAATAAACTAGAATCTCTTACACAAGAGAAACATGGGTCATTTAACAAATGAATATTTTAATCTATATAAGGATCATTTTCGTTAGATTTAATTAAAAACTTTTTGGTACTACAAAGATTATACAAGAAAGTAATAAATATTTCCACAGTTATCTCAGGTACATTACATTTTACTTCAACAACATTTTTCCAAATATTATAT